GCGCCCACGCCCGAGCCGACCTCATCGACATCAGCACCCGCCCCATTGACGTCAGCACCGACATTGGCCCCGACGGCGGGTCCTACCGATGCACCAACGCTGACGCCAACGCCAACGCCAACAAAACTCCGGGCAACGACCGCAACGCCAACAGCACCCGCGACGGAAGAGATCTCGGGCAGTGGCACAAGCATTGCAGTCATCGTCGGCGTGTCGGTCGCAGCCGTGCTCGGGGCGTTGCTAATCGGGTGGTGCTTCTTCACGCGCCAGCGCTCAACACGGTACGCCGACGACGACGACATGCCGTCAATCCGAGCGTTTACCAAGTCGACAATGGACAACAGCACGTACGTTGGCGGTCGGTTCCATGCGCCGGCGCCCGACTTGTCCACCGGCGTCGTCATCGGCAGTCGGCCCAGCAACGTGCTCGACTCGCAGCGTGACATGGCCGTCCTCGGTGGCTCGGACCACGGTGCCAAGCCCGGCCTCTTCACATGGGAGTCGGCCGCCCATGACGTGGCAGCACCGGCGCCGCCGCCGTACCGCTTTCAAAACAAGTTTGATACGTACCCGATTAGCGAAAAGTCGTACGTGAGCAGTGACGTGCCGCCGTCACCACTCTCGGCGCAGTCGGACGCAACGGCGCCGCCGCGCGAAATGAACGTGTGGGCCGCCGCGGCCGCCAACACCAACAGCTCCCGCCGGTACCACGCCTCCAACACGAGCAGTGGGCCATCGAGTTTTGTCTCGGGGAGCCCGAACCCGTCGTTCGTCTCGAGCTTTAGCGGCTCGGAAATGCACAGCTCGACCGACTTGGCCTCGAGCCGGTACCTCCGCACCAAGAGCCGGGACTCGAACGACAGCTTCGTGCTCTAAGATAGAGAAGAACGTAGGTGGTGTGTTGCCGTAATATCTATTGTAACTTATCATGCCAGGACCCAAAAAAATCTACCACCGACAACACGGTGCACACGCGTTGTCTAACGCTATGGACTAGAGCGTGGTCGACGGTAGCGTGAGGGATGCATTGCGATGGCTCGTGCACCCGACGCTATTAAGTGCACAATGGGACGACGGACAAGTTCGTGCTCTAGAAGGGACGGGTGCGTGGCGCTGTGGGTGGGTTATGCAAAATAGCCAAGCTGGACTGAAGGACACACAGTGAAAAACTCGGGGGTACTCTCGCACGACGACCGAATCGACCGTAGCTCACCGATGCGTACGCACTGGTACTACCAGTCAATAAAGCCATTGCCCGTGGTGGAAGACAGGGGCGCGTTGCGTTGTCCTGGGGATCGTTACTAGTACTAGTACGACCGATCGGTGTGACTACCATTTTTGCAATGCTTGTCAGGCGGTTTATTACCGGGATTACCACGACCATGGGTTTCTTCTTATATGAAGTCCATTGTCAAGCTACTTGATCGACCAGCAGCGTCCGCGGTCGTGAGCCAGACCCGTGTTGCGGAGTTCCACTTGGATGCGACCGGGGGCCGACCTGTAGCTGCAGCACTATAAGGTACACGGGGGTGCTCACTTGAACACGCGGGCTGATGGAAGTCGTCGCCAACCCATTTTTGCACATACTATGGATCCTTGAACGGATTTCTTGAAGGCTTCTGAAGTCGACGTAGGCTGCTTGGCTCGATAGGAGCTCTGGTGGCGATAATGTTTAACGTTGGCAGTAGCAGTACGCCAGCAAACGAGAACCTAGACCATCTCCAATCGTTGGACTGTATTCATGAATTCATCAGGCACGCTGCTGGGATAGTCTCTGGGTGGTGCGTCGCGTGTCAGGCCTAGGACCGTTGCTTCTTGAGGAACACCCGAGGATGGTGCTGCATGGGTGCTTGAAGTTGGTCGTCGGTTGCACAATTGTCAAAAATCGTCCGTGATGTGGACTTGGCTCGTGTCGAACGCAGTGAACGGCAGAGGCACGGGCGATGCGCTCCTCGAGTCGAGACGTGCGCTCGTGTAGAAGGTTGCTGCCCCTTGGTTCGCGCCGGCACGGCATCGGTCGTCAGTCCCTTGTACTCTTCCCAGCGAATTTGAGTCTGCGACACGCCACTCGACGAATGTGCAAAATCACAAATTTGAACGTGGGCAGTCGAGCGGCGATGGTGGGGTTGCAGTGACGCTGATCCTGTCACGTCCACGCCCGAAGCGCGTCTGCTTGCAGCAACGAAGGGTGTCGAGACGACCCGTTGTCCTCGCATGTGCCCAGCCTTGTCCAAGATCGCGTCCAGCGTCCGACCCATCTCCTCCCAAACCCATGCGTTGACCATGCGAATGGCGGTACTCCATAACCCAATGACAATAGCCAAGCCTCTCTGTTCACTAAGACCTGTTGGTGCCTCGAATGGCTACTGGAATGGTGCAGCGCCGCAGACGGACTTTCCCTTTGTGATTGAGCTAGGATAATGGGCGGTTTGGATCACGGGACTTTAGGTCTTGTTGGTTCCTCGCTGGCGCCAGGCTACTCGAGCTGCTTTCAGCATGACGTAATGAAAAGCAGAGGGCGACGGGCTGGACTCGCTTCCGTAAAAGCTTGAGGGCCCTGCTGGTGGCAGCCGCTGCCACGTCAGGTGGTGGCGTGACGCGACATGCGTGCCCACTGAAAGTATCCGGCTTGGCCGCCACCCAAGCTGAACCGACCAGCCACGAGCTTAATACACTGTATTGCGCCCAGCGTTCGCGCCCAAGATCTGCTGCCACATCCATTCTCAACAGGTGCATGCAATGGCAGCCGCCGCCAACGCGACGACGCCGAACGCGACGACCGCGTATCCAGTGATCAGCTCGCACGCCGCCGACCCGCCGTACGCCAAGGCCCTCGTCGGTGTCGCTGTCGTCTTCGTCTTTGTTGTCGGGTTCATTGCCTGCTACATCGTTGTCCGGCGAGCCGCAGCGTATGGACGCCAAACCAGCGCGCCACCAAGTGCTGTCGAGCTCGAGCACGACGAGCCGCTCTCGCCTTGGTTTAAGCAGAACACGTCGCCGAGCCACCACCTCGAGGCGTCCGTGCAGCACCGATCTCGGGCCGAGATGGCGTCGTCGTCGCCACTGGCGATTGCATCACCGCGCGAGACGGACGCCACGACCGGAACGAGCGAGTATAGTCTGTACACGGACGCGATCGAGCTGCGGCGAGGCAGCTCGGGTCTCCAGACGACGACACACCCGGGCCCGAGCCACCGGTCTAGGCGTAGACACATCATACCTTATCATCGACTATCTATAATGGCATAAAGCATAAAATGGCAGAGGCACTTGTATCGAGTGTGGGAGGTGCTCGATGCGCCGGAGCCGGTACTTTCGCGCGCCGCCATCGGCCGACCCGAGTGGCGACGCAGCGACCACGTGCGGTACAGCCGCGTTTGCTGGCCGACTGACAGTGCACTTTGTGTAGCGATCTGCCTGCAGGCGGTAGTAGCCGGCGCCACGATTGCGTGCCGCCATCGGTTCTGCTTCGCGTGCATTCGCGCGTGGACCGATGTTTCGTCGACGTGCCCGCTGTGCAAAGTGGACATTCGTGCGATTCTCAACGAAGCAACTCGGACAGAGGTCGTGATCGCACCCAAAGTCCAAGCGCCACCGGCGGAAAATGACCACTTTGCCTTTTCAGACGACGACTTTGCCGATGCGGACGACGACGTGGCACTTGCGCTGGATGCGGACGACGCCAGCGACGGCTACGAGATGGACGGCTTCGTCGTCCCGAATGACTTTATCGAGTTTGAAGATAGTCAGGACGAGGCAGATCTGCGTACGTAACGTCATGCACACACGACGACGACGACCGAGGATCCCGTAGGCAGCGACGACGACACTGGTTTTACTACGGCGCGGTCGACCCGACGAGGAAGGACGAGCGAGAGTAGTAGTGGGTCGCCCCGCCGAAAGCGCATTCGCCGAGCACACAGCGACGAAGCGAGCTCTGGTACATACTAGCGCTCTGTGATCGATGGTGCGATGAAACCCCTCGTCTAGACGACGACGAGGCCGAGCACAGCATTTCGCTACGACCTACTAGTATGGTCCAAGACACGGTGGACCTTGGACGCCGGGAGCTTGCAGAGCCGGCGCCAACGGTTCACGCAACGGGGCTCGATCCCGCCCCAAGGACACTATCAGTTGCGCCACGCGTCGTCTCCAAGTACTTTCGAAGGCGTTCCTCGCAGAACGCGTAAAGCTGCGACCACAGACGTACTCGGATGCCCTCTTCTAGCAGTCGCACAACCACCATTCGCAATTCGCGAGGCCTCAACCGCGCACGTCGTTGAGCCACAGCCCTACAACGTTACTAGAGCTCGTTTTTTATCCACCACCAGTCATGTCAGTGTGTGGAGCTTACCACAAAACCTTCCTTGTGTCCCCCACGCACTTGCGTTTGTAGGCTCGCAACCATGTTCAATTCAATCAGCCCCTTTTCTCTCCAAGAACGTAACCCAAGATGGAGATGATTTGACCCTAATCCCTCACGAGAGACTGAGGACACTCAGGAACAGCATGCAATCGAGAATTTCCCATCGATGGCCAAGGCACCTCGCCACTGCGGCGGATTACGTCAAAACAAGTTTTAACGTTCGTTGGCTTGACGATTTAGATGACACGATGATGTCCTCTCAGAGCGCAAACGAGCCGAATGACGGCGATGACGTGCGCCCGTACGTAGACGTGCCGGCGCGCGGTGGCGTGTACTTGGAGTGGTCCAGTCCCACGCACGAGAGAAACATACGGTCCTGGAGCTGCGCCGTTTTGCGCGACGTCGCCGGATCTAGCCGCCCATTCGAAGTCTGGTCGCCAGATCAGATTCTGTGTAAGGTGTACCTATTCCTTTGTCTTTGGACCAGAAACTTTCCATTTCGGTCCGAAACGATGGACTCAAGCCTGTCGGGTCCTTAGATTGTGGCATCGCCTCTGGGCGCCACATTGCTTGTGGTGTGGACGTCTGGTTGGAGCGCGGTGTGGATGCCTCGTACTCTCGAGCGTAGCTCGCCGGCGCCACGGGCGCCGCCGGGCGTGACCAGTCGGTGGCCGACCGCGCGTGGCGTCGGTGCGTGAGAAGACTGGACCGCTCCTCTGTGAGCTTGCGCCGCGTCGCGTCCATGTACTTGATTTCCTCTTGCAGCCGCCGCTCGCGCTCGTCGACTTGGCTCCAGTGCTTTTGGAGGCGGAGCCGTTCGTCGTGGATGGCCTCCAGCATAGCCCGCGCTTGGTCGCGCTCTTCTAGTGCACGCTGCTCGTTGGCCGCACTCACTTCGCTCGCGGCCTTGACCTTCTCCGCCATCGCCTCGACACACTGCGCAGCGTGGCGCAGCGCGTCTTTCTCGTCGTCCAGATGGCGCTGCATGTCGGCAAGCGTCTCCATTTCGGTCGCGTACCGTGCAATCATTTCTTCAAACGCTTGCTTCTCGGCCCGAAGCCGACTGAGCTTTTCATTCACGCGCTGCGCCTCGGCTTGGTGTCGCTCTTGGACGATGCGCTGGTCGCGAAGGGCCTCTTCTTGCTGTGCGGCAAAGGCCTACCATACAACAACGTATCATCATGCTGGTTTGTTTTGTTTTGCCCGTCGCACCGCGCGGGCCATGTGCAGTGACCGCTCTTCTTCCTGAAGCTGTTCGCGCCGCTTGTGCATGCGTGCTTCGGCAATGCGAATGTCTTGGATATAGCTCGCTATGTTCAAAGTATCAAGTTGCGTATGTATCAAGTGGATATTTTTCGCAGCGGTACCCAGTGTTTGCGACACGACTTTGGTGTTGGTGTCGGTGCGCTCTTGGAGCAGTGTCGTTTGGGACTTGAAGTGCAACGCGAGCTCTTCGAGACGCGCTTGCTCGCTGCGCAGTCGCTCCTTCTCCTCCATGTGCTCGCCTCGGAGCGATCGCATCGTGGTTTCTAGTGCCGACAGCAGCGCTATGCGTCATTTGCACGGATGAAACATCTCAGCGACGACATGATTGGCGTACATTGCAGACGCTGGCACTCTTCCTGCGTCCGGCTCATGTACGCCTTGCAGCTTCCTTCCATCTCGAGAAGGAGGCGTGACCGCGACTCGTTCTCGCCCATGCTGCGCACGTCGGCTTCGGATTTGCCAAACACAACGTGCTCTTGTAGCACCTACGAGCATCCAGAGAACACATATGCTCCACGCACTTCCTAAAAGGATGCAACTGGCACCTTGAGGTTGCTCACGGCCGCGCGGACTTGGGTCAAGAGTCGCTCGACCGCCTCCTTCTCAGCGTGCCGGCTCTCTTCGTCGCGCCACCGCTGCTGCTGGAGAGCTTCCTGGGCGCGATCGTGCTCGAGGCGCTTGAATCGCTCGACACTTTGCGCGTGGAGAGCTTGCTCCGACGAGAGATCGCGCTGCGCTTGGACGAGCTTGGACGACACGCTTTGGAGCTCGGCCTGCAATATGCTCTTGTCTTGGAGAAGCTGGGCAATCTGCGCTTGCAAGTCGGCTGCCGACGAAGCTTGTACACGCAGCATCGCAAGCTCTGTGCTGAGCGCCTACGCGCGCGTGCCAGCAGGCTCCTATCGACGTAGTACACACCTGTTTTTCTTGCGTGAGTGCGCCGACTTGAGTGGTCAGAGTTGCATTGACCGCTCGCAGTGTCGTTGCCTACTCGTCGTTCAGGCCAATGAGACCTGCGACAAGAAAACGCTGGAAACCTCAGCGGTTGCCGTCGCGCAGGCTGCCACCGAGGCAGCAAGGTCGCTTTCAAAAACAGCCGCCCGGGCCGTCTCGTGGGTGAGCGACGCCAGCGCCTAGAGCATGCACACCATGGGTAATCGACAAAGTTTGGGCGACAGACTTGGTCGTGGGCCGACTGCAGCGCTGTCTTGTCGGCGGTGTGCGCTTGCACCTGCGCCTCCAAGCTCGTGACGAGCGCTTGACTTGCTTCGAGTTGGTGCGAAATGAATGCCGGCACGATCGCGGTGTTGTCGAGGAACGTGCCCCGAGACGCGGGGCTGAGCCGTTGTGGCCCTCCACCGTCGTCACCGCCGTACACGTTGGCCCGTGTCGGCGACCCGGATGCCGCTTTGGATGGTGACGACGCCGACTAGAACAAGGTGAGATAGAGGCTCTGGGATCCAGGATGTACACCTTATCAACGCCAGTGCCACTACTACGGTGGGTTGGCGACACTGGTGCCTCGATGGAGGTGCGCTGGGGGGACACGGGCGACGGTGCACGGGGCGGTGCCTCGGTGGGTACTTGCATTGGAGCCGGCCGTGCTGGTGAGCTGGCCAGTGCCGTTGGTTCCGGCACTAGGCTGGGCTTGGTCACGGGCTCATCCGGCACTCGGATTGGCTCGGGTTCTGGAGGAGGCGCTGTGTCGACGCGCGGCCGTGTCCACGTGGACGGCTCCTCGACAAACGTTTTTTCTGGTGACGGCGCCGCCACAGGCTTCTCGGGAGATGGCGTCGCCAGTGGTATGGTCTTGGGCGGTTCCTTGCCCTCTTGAAGTGTCGGGGCATTCTCCTTGGGCTTGGATTTCTTGAGCCACGGAAACTCGGGCAAGTCGTCGTCGTCGGGGGGGTTTGTTTTGGTTTTGGGCGGCGTCTTGGACTTGGATGTCGTCGACGGAGCCTCGTCGACCTTGGATTTGGACCACGGAAAGGACGGCATGTCACTGCTACTCGTTTCTGCCTTGGCCACATCGGGTGTCGCTTCCGTCTTCTTCTTCATCCACGGAAACGACGGTGTCTCATCAGCGAGAAGGCGATCCACATCCTCTGCATCTTTTGGCGCCTTTGCACTCCGACGCCGCGTCGCTGGCGGGTCGCCGGCAACTGCCTCGTCTGTGGGCTTGGAGGCGTCGTTCTTGGCACGCATCCATGGAAAGCTCGGTATCGCCTCGGTCGTGTCGGACACTGGCAGACTTTCTTTTGGTGTCGGTGTTGGCTCGGCTCCAGTTTTCTTCTTCATCCAAGGAAACGCAGGTAGATCGCTCTCTGGTGCACCCGTTTTTGGCGGCGTCACGTCAGCGGATGCCGCCTTGGGCGGTGTGACCTCGGTGACTTTTGGTGGTGTGCTCGAAGTCGGCTTCGTCGGGGCGTCCGTACCGTCGCTGCGCCGGCGCGACGACCCAAAGATGTCGAGGCTCTCAATTTTGGCAGGCTTTTTCGCAAACGGATCGTCGTCAGCCAACATCGCCGTGCTACTGCGACGTCCGCGGCCGCGCCGGTCGCTCGAGAACGAGTCTTCTCTGGGTTTCTCATCGCCAGGGTCGTCTTGGAAGAAGGACGACGCGATCGAGAACCGGTCGTCGGGTGCGGGGGCCGAGAAGGGCTCTGGTGCGGGTGCCGGCGCACTCGGCGGTGGCGGCGAGTCCTCCGTATTTTTTGTAGGGCTCGTTGCCGATAAGAACTCGGATTCGTCAAAGCCGAGTGCCTTGGCAAACTCGTCGTCGAGGTTTTGCATGCTCTTCTTCTTGGCGGGGCCTTTCGCCAGCTGCGCGATGACGTCGTCGTCGTCCTCAAACGACATGGGTTTGCGTGACGATACCGACGGCTTGGGAGGCGACGCAAATGCATCGTCCGACGCATTAAAGTCGCCGGACGTATCCCAGTCCATGGACGACTTGTCTTTCTATTGGCATAGACAGAAATCGCGACCTATATCTCAAAGCATTCATCTACCTTTTTGGATTTTTTGTCCGACTTGGATTTTGGCGACGATTTGGACTAGACTCGATTCGACGTCAATCCAACAAGCTTAGGATATGTTAGTAGCGCACCTTGGACTTGGAGCTCTTCTTCTTGGACGACTTGCCTAAGGTGGGTGCTTTCGGTAGGTCGACATGATGCAGATGGGCATACCAGGCGAGTCGTCCGCCTTCTTTTTAGGCGTGTCGCTCAAGAGGTCGTCAAGATCAAAGTCATCGACGTTGTCGTCGTCCTTGGGCGCCTTGCCGCCGATCGGGATGAGACCACTCGTGAGGTCCTCACTCTTCTTGGACTTGTCTTCCTTCTTCCCGAGCGGAATCAAGTTGCCAAGCCCCGACATGAGCACGACGGCTGCAGCTCGAAAGTCGCCGGTTACACGTTCGATACAAAAGCCAAGATATGACGTGGCAGGTTCAACGGCAAGGTCCACAGATGTCGTGCGGTGCTAGGATCTCACACACCCTCGCTTGCTTGCATGGGACAATGCCACGTATACTGGCTACTCAAGTATAGTAATTGGGACCAATATCTGCATCGAACTCGAGATATCGTGGCGAGAATCGAGCGAGGCGAACGATGACACTACTTTTGGTTTGTTGCACCGTTGCCGCGAGTCGCGCCCGCGGGGCGGCTTGTGCTACGCCGTTTGTGTGTACAAGGCTTGGGTCATTGTGGCTCTTCTTGTACATGTATGTAGCCGGGATCTTGGCGTCAGACCCGTGTCTGACGCTCTCTGCAGGGTTCATTCTTATTTTGGACAGCGCCTCTTCATTGCCGGTGGCTCATCCCAGCCACATATGAGAGAGCCGCATATCGACGCTTATTAGATCTAACAGCCGCCGTGTGCATTTTGGTTGATGTCGTGGCATCGATTCGCTAGAACCTAGTCGTCGTGGTAGGCCATGCGCTCCGATCGCGATGGGACTTGATGGGAGTGATCCGTCGGTGTGGATGAGAAGAGCGAGCTGGATGGACGCAGCTCCATGTTCAGTTGTACCCTGAAATGATCGCCAGAAAGCGACGACGGATTTGAGTCGACGTGTTGCCAGCGATTGCGAGCGAATGGCGCACCGGTAGCTCATTTCACTTTTCGCGACAATGACGGCATGCAACAAGGTGCTCCACAACTCCCTGGCCACGCTCTCGGTCCAAAAGGGCTTTGGGAACTGCCGATTTCTGCGGGGGCTCTCGCTCGACTACACGGATTTAAACGACCTCGCGAATGACTGCACCCTGTCGCCGACCTGCGTCAAGCTCATCACGACGGGCTTTTTGAGCGAAAACCTAATTGGCTGCAACGTGACCGACGTAAACACCAACTACACAATGGCCATCTCGGACTTTAGTACAATCTGCTCGTCCCCTACAAAGCTCAGCGCTTTCACAAAACCACCAACGACCATGCCACGTCCTGTAACGACCGGTGCGCCCAATACGACGACCGTGGCTACCACGACGCGGCCACTGTCGACCACCGAGGCGGTCAAGCCCAACGCCACCAATGTGACGAGCTTCGCAGCGCCGACCGGCCCGACCGTCAAAGCTACGTGGTCTCTTCTCGTCTGTCTAGCGCTGCTCTTGGTGTAGGTAGTGTATCTAGGGTACTTATTAAAGCACAATAAAAAGACACTTTGATCCATGCCGGCAGGTAACGACAATAATATCGTCCTTTGGGCGGTAGACACCAGCGACAGTCTCCAGGTCCTTTTGTTGTGTAGTTTTTGTTGTGTAGTCGGGGTTTGAACGGCAGACACAAGCTCCACAAGATGTCAACACCTTTGCTTCAACACCGAGAAGCACTAAGGGTGCCCAAAACCAACAAGGACACTTCGCTGCCTCGGCACGAACCAAAGCACATCACGTCGGATTAAGTATCAGGAGTTGCGCTTGTTGCCAGCTAAGAGGGATGAGGCGAGGCATGCCGAAACGTAGCAGGCCACAGCCAAATCGAAATGTCGTCGAGGGTATCCTGGCCTGTGCCTGCTTCCCTAAAAACTCTCAATCGGTACCAGCTCTCTGTACCGGATACTCGAAGCCTATCCGGCTTCCAATTATGACGTGGCACGCTCCCACAAGACATTCCGTGCCGAAATCTCGGCACGCGACGCACTTGTGCATTCGAATTGCTTCTACAGTATGCGCCTCTTCACGCAATACTTCAAAACATAGTATCAGACAATGTCGTCCGTGGTCGGTTCGCGGCCTGCCGACCCAACTCCGTCGCGTCACACGCACCACGAGAGCTTGTAGGGAATCCGACGACGATCCCCTTGTCCAACGCGCACTCCGTATCCTATTGCTCGAGCGTAGATATGTCAAGTACATAAAATAAGTGCTCATATCGATGTCATTAGGAGACGACAAGGTCCCGCTCTGCAAGACCCCAACAAGTCAGCGCCTGACCAGATATAGATCTGAGTCTATCGGCTCTGATTGGCGGAAACACACCAATCAACGCGCTTCGATTTGCAGCACTTTCGACACTGATGGCGACGGCGTGCGCTGCGGCGCTCGACAGCACGCTGAGCTCGCTCTCGAACTTTCCCGGCTTCTCGAGCTGCAACTTCTTGTCCGCCTTGGCACGCAACAACGTCGACTTGAGCCTCGTCGCGAGCGACTGCGGCTCGGTCATCTGCAGCACCTTCCTCGCGACCAGCTTCTGGAGCTCGCGCTTCAGCAACTGCGACCTGAGTGACGGCGTGAACACGATTCCCGTGTCGACCTTGCGCACCATTTGCTTTTACCCAAGCAAGCAAGATGCGCTCACCCGCGCGCCGACGACCAAGCCGCCCAAGACGACGACGCCTCCACCGACAACAACACTGACGCCGACCACGACGCCGCCGGTGACCGCCATCGCGACGCGCAGCCCGATCGACGACGCCTCCAGAGGCAACCAAACTACATTGACGAGCGCTGCGTCATCAACGGGCACGACTGGCATGACAGTCGGGCTCATTCTCATTGGCCTTGGGCTACTGCTACTCCTATGCCTTTTCGTGATGGCCCGAAAGCGAGCGCATCGCCAGAAACCGCAAGCACCCATAGCCCATCATCCGCCGCCTGTCCAAGCGCATCATGATGATGACGACGACGACGACGACGACATCGATTGGTCCGATGAAGTCCTCCGCTTTGTTCCATTCTTTGGCCGGGTGCTGCAAACGGTTTGCGCTGGTATTGGCCTCGCAGCGCTCTCTGGCGCCTTTCCCACTGGTACATCACAGAATCGTGAAAACGTCTGACAGTACTTCTAGTGACCACTGTTGATGGCGTATCGACGCAACTCGGTGGCGGCGTCTGGACGGCGCTGCTCGTTGTCTTGGTGCTGCTGCTTCTCCAAGGCGCCGCACTGGTCGTTCTTGTGTACAAAGACATTGCGTCCCGCCCTCTTCAAGAGTGTGAGGACGACGATGATGCGAGCGTCCACTATGTGCCGTTGACAACAATTATGAAAGCTACCGTGGTCGTCGACGTGCTCTTTAGCTTGGCCGGGCTCGTCGTCGGACTTTCAACCGCAGCCAGCGACCTCAACGCGAGTTGCGGAAGCGTGGACGGCGGCCTCTTGCGCTGCGGTCCTCTGCGCACAGCGATTGCATTTGACCTTTTGACATTGCTGGTGATGTGGACGCTCCTCGGTCTCTGGGTCGCGCGCATGGACCCGGACGAGCGCCGCTTCCACGCCGGGTGGCCGGTGTCGCCGAGCGAAGCCTCGCACCGCGTTCCGCCCGAGCCCTACGCTGCACATGCCACGTAGGGAACGATTGAGTTTCATGTATCTTCAACAAGCGCTGCGATGTGAACTTTCTATCCTCGTTGTCCAGGTGGCCGTCCTCGTGCTCTCAGGGTGTTTTGAGTTTGAGTTTGGGACGAAATGCGACGACAGGAGGGTGGCGCCACCGGTTCAAACACGCGCTCGCGTCCCCTTTTGGCTCTTGCGGCAAGGTTGAGCAATCGGATGCCAAGAAATGAGATGCAAACGTAATGCGCATTGGATGGTTTAGGTATTAGACATGGAAATGTACTCTTCTGCTCGTCTTTAGAGCACTCTTAGTGGCGCGTCAGGGCAGCCGCGACGACTTGGTCGACGACATGGAGGTGGTTCCGCGCCGCGGTCGACGTCAAATGGTTGTAGATCCACACGTAGGGCACGCCAGCGTCGTCCACGAACTTTATCTTGTCGCCCTCCGAGTAGTTATCGGCGTAGTCGATCAAGGTCGCATCCGAATTCGCGACGACGCGGTGGAGGCGGTCAAAGAGCCATTGGCGCTCGTGTTGAAAGACCGACTTGAGCACGGGCTCGGTCGGGAGCTTGACAGACTCACCATGGAGCCACGTCGCCGGGTTCATGCGGTCGTACTCGGGACTCTGGTCGACGAGGAAGACCTTGATACCGAGGTCCCGCAGCGCGATGAGCTCGTCTTGGAGGTCCAACAAGAGCGCGTCGACGTCGGCCATACTCTGGTCCTTGCACGGCACGCCGTTTTCCCAGCAGCACTTGGGCGGGTAGCTTTGGGGGGCGCCGGCGGGGGCCGCGGGGTTGAGGTACTGGATCCAGTGGATCACCAGAAGCACTGCTTGCGGCTTGAGCTTCTTGAGCATGGCCATGTTGGCCGAGAACTCGGGGCGGCAGGAAAGCAGCGCGCGCCCGAACCGCGTCTTGAAGACGACCGTCGGGAACGGCCGGCTCGCGGCTGTGGCTTCTTCAAAGAGGCGCACAATGCGGGGCTTGGTCATGTCTGCGTGCGAGTCGCCGAGGACGACGAGAACGCCGTTCTCTTCGTGGTGCGGGTTGAGCAGCTGGCACACTTCCGGGTATGCGGTGCTAATGAACTCCTTGAAGGGGAATGGCTTGGGCGTCGTCGCTTCTGCTACATACGGCAAATCGGCGGGACACGTGATACCAGCATCCGTGTTCCACGCGCCGTCGACTTGCGACTTGCGCACCATGCTGAGCGTTGTCGGCGGGCGCTTCTTCTGGACCGGTGCGGCTGTAGCAACGATCGGTGCGGCCGTGGCAACGATCGGTGCGGCCGTAGCAACGATCGGTGCGGCCGTAGCCACAACCCGTGCCTCGGTTGCGTTGACGGGGCGGCGGTGTCGACGACGGGGGCCACCGTGGCATCCTGCGACACATTGACAGAGGCGACGATCGGAGCGTTCGTGGCATGCACCGACGTCCAAGCGGCGTTGTTGGTCGCTTCCGTAACGACGACAGGCGCTTCGGTCGCGTGAACCAACGGTTGGTTGCTGACGGGCGCAGCCGTCGGTGCCAAATCCACCGTATCAGCGTCGGTCATCGACTTGGCAACTTCGATTTCAATGGCCGAAAACTGCGACGGGTTGGTGTAGACGCACAGGGCAGCCACGGCGAGCGCCATGACGGCTAGTACAAGCATCGGCGTCACATACCACGCCTTCTTGTGGCGCAGCGGCGTCTCGACGTCCTTGTACGTGAGCACAGAGAGGAGAAAGCTCGCGAGCAGCATCATGAAAGGCGATGCGTACAGCGGCGGGTCGTCCGGGTACCGCTCCTTGGCAAACACGAGGAGCGGCCAGTGCCAGAGGTAGAGACAGTAGCTGATCTTGCCAATGTAGACTGCGACGCGGTTGCTGAGGAGATGCGTGTTGACGATCGCGTCGGGACCCGCGGCGATGAGCAAGGTCGCGCCGACGGTCGGAAGCAGCGCCCAGAACCCCGGAAACAAGCGGGCTTCGTTGATGTAGTAAAAGCCAAAGAGAATGCACACGAGGCCCGACACGGAGAGGAGATGGCTGCGGCGCGCATGCGACGGCGGCGACGACGACGACTTGGCCGAATGGGGCGACATGGTGACGCTGCTGTACGCCTCGTTCGGGTTGAACTTGGTCGTGTACGCTAGGAGGCCGCCCATGGCCATTTGCCAAAACCGGCTCAGCGGGTTGTAGAACGAAACGTTGTTGTTGTCGTGGTAGCCAAGGAACAGGATGTTGAAGAGAAAGCTGCCGAGCAGCACGGCCACTTGGAGGTACAGCGCACGCTTGTACGGCAGTCGCATGACCAGCGACGCGAGGAGCGGCCAGAAAATGTAAAACTGCTCTTCGACGCCGAGCGACCACAAGTGCAGGAGCGGGTTCATCTTGATGTCGAGCGCAAAATACGAGTGTTCCAGCGAAAGCACTTGGAGGTTGGCGCAGAAGAGCGTGCCCGCCAGCATCGTCGCCGCGAGGGCCTTGAGCTTGGCCGCCATCAAGTAGAGGTACCCCATCCACAGCGTCGCGCTCAAGACCAAGATGAGCGTTGGGAAGATGCGCCGCACCCGCCGCGTGTAAAAGCTCGTGTACGTGAACGAGCCGCGCTGGTTCTCCTTGAAGAGGATGCCCGAGATGAGGTAGCCCGAGATAACGAAGAAGATGTCGACGCCAATAAAGCCGCCCGGAAACAGCTCGGGATACGCGTGGAAGACGACGACGGGCAGCACGGCCAGCGTCCGGAGGCCATCGACATCGGGGCGGTACGCTGCATGCGGCTTGGCGACATCGATGACGACGGGCTCGTCGGTGACGGCCAAGGACGGCGACGGAAGCACGTCGCTGTTGTGGTCGCGTGCCATAAGGCAAAATCAGAAGTGGTTGTGGCAGATCGCACATTGGCGCGTCGGCTCGGGCAGGCCATTCATGCAATCTGTACCTCCATACGTTGTCAGTAGGGAATGTCCCAACCCGTTTCACATTGGGTGCAAACACTGTGGTCATCGCGTGGCGCGATTAAACGAACGAGTCGAAGGACGGCGCATCGCACTGCATAGACGCGCAGCGTAGACGCGCGTGGTCGCACGAGCTGTGTCCTGCAGAGCGCTTTCCATGGCGGTCAAAGCTTTGGAGAGTTTTTTGGAGTAAAGTATGTTTGCGAAGAGAAACCAGCTAGCGCTCGTTTGCGGCTGCATTATCAGGACCTGCGGCCTCGACCTACACAGTACACGGGTGTAATGCTGTCGCTGCTTCCACATGGCACGCCATCATCGTCGCTCGGTTGAAACGACGTCGTTGGCTTCGAGCGTGCAAATTGCATCGCTTTCGAATAAGTACACCGGTGTAGTACGACACAGGTTGAGTGAGGTTTTGGTTGTGGAATCCGACCCGCGGGGAATTGGTGTCCATTCCACCGATCTTCATATCAGACAATTTCAGCGCTGGCCACGCGCGTTCTTCCCCTCCTATCGAAAGGTTGGTACCGGCGGAATTCAACTCGAAGTGCCACCATCCCCTACCGGTACTGCGGACGAGAATGGACCACATCAGTACGGCCTATTGCGGTTTGAAGCTAGAGGTCATGAATCTGCTTATCAGAAAGTGGGGCTCTCTCCGGGACTCGAACTCGACGAAAAGATGTCGACTACATTCCTGCCTTCTTGACTCTGGTGACGACGACAAACAGCAACCGCAAGGGGCATTGGCCGAGTCGACCCAGAGTCGAAAGGACGCAATTGGTCGCAGAAACTCAAAGCGAGCGATGTCGACACAACGTCTTGCAACGGATGTGCTACATCGGCTTCGTAGTTCCCCCTACTATAATACAACCTGTCAACATGTCATTGGCCCCCTCGTGTTAATAGCAAGGGTATACAAAAAATGTACCCTCTCCTCGTAGGCGCAGACGATTTCCAGCCGTCGGTATACGTAGCAGCACAGCTGTCCTCGTCTCTCGTTTGTAACACATGGTCCGGCCGACCTTGTTGAACTTGATGGGCAACTCCCTCGATACCCACGTCATTGGTCCACATTACGCAGATCTATCTCATGCAACATAATTTGAGCCTCTTTATGCAAGGAGTCACTCGCATTGCTCACGGTGGTCAAAGGCGATGGCGGCAGTGCGTTATGTGTAAAATATGTGTGAAACGCAAGTGCTTGCATTTGTCGCGTGCGTTCGATCAATCCACACTATACAAACATCAAGTTGATGGGGTGAGTTTTCCGTTGGGCCACACCAATGAATGTACCCTTTTACCACACCACGTGTACAATGTGGACACGCACTGCTTGTGCGGCAAGCATTTATTACAGCTAAAATTGGCGGCCGACTGGACTCGCAAAGCCGATTTACTAGGGTACATCGACCTTTTTAAATGCAATATTCTTGTGATTTAGTACCGTCCAAGCGCTTTTGTCCATTGCAACAATCGAGGCTACCGGTACACTGCGGTGCAAAGATCTAACTTTATTCAATACAGACTGTACGCACTCACTACGCACTACAGCTGTATTTCATTGGCACTGGAAGTGGATGGCGATAGTGGCTCTTTAGCAATCGAGCAAGTATTATACAAAGTATTAATAGACGTATGCTTCTGCGGCTTTGAGCCTATAGCGTGTAAAGCCTTTTCGTCTGTGACTCGTATATGGTGCATGGAATCGTGTTTCCCGCCATAGAATTTGGAGAGTTTGTTTTGGATTACAATAGATCGCCTTGAGTAGGGCTACTTGGTAGTACAGAACTGACACCCGGCCACGAACACACTAGAGAGCTCGTTTACCTGCATACGTAGTTGCTTAGTCCTCCTAACCTCCTAACCTCCACCACCCAACAACACATTCGGGTTACTACCGGTACATTCGCAACCCCATTCTTAACGTTAACCTAACCACCACTAACCTGCAGCGGACAATTTTCCGTGTGATTATTCCAGTGGTTTTGGCGGCTCGTAAATTGTAATGAAGGAAATGCAATGGATTCCTACACGTCGTGGTAGCTTGTAGGTGAGCGGTCGGCGAGGCACTTGTCTAGCTGTTCACTGATACCAAGGACATGCATACAATACAGTGCCTGCAATTACGCTCGCTGTGCCTTGGCATCGATGACACGGCGTCATCAACACGGCTGCTCACACTGGCCGCCTACAAGCAAAAGAACATGGGTGCGACCGACAACCAACACCGGCAAACGTCGGGATCGTCCAGAGTCACATTACCAATAGCTCATCATACCAAGGTGGGATTTATATGCCCTGGGTCAAACCAAAGCTTAATGCCATCGTAGCCACTCTCGTTGCCATGCATCTTTCCATGCCGTTTCACACTGTAGATGTCACGTTTAACGCATGCGTTTAATCTTGAAACCGCCGGAACGTTCTGCGCATCCAGGCCGTTTCGCCGCTCCACTTTTTATCCGTTGGCATACAAATACAAAGTCCATGCAGCGCGTTGCAAAAAAACAGGCGTCCCGGGCCGTCCGTTTGACGCGCGCCACGCGACGCGTTTGACGCATTTAGCATCTTTGCCGCATGATGGCCGACTTTGCCGCGGCCGGTCTGCGACTGACGCAGACGCTCTTCGCCGCCATTGGCCTCGTCGCGCATGCCACCAGCTTTCCCAGCGGTACGACGTCGGTGATCGCGCCTCCTCATGCTCCACTTCAATTAGGCCACGCTGGGCATGGCGTCGCGATCCAGCTCGGCGGTCCCACGTGGGACGCGTGCCTCCTTGTGCTCTGCGTCGCACTCATCTACGGTCTCTGGCGCGCGATTCCCGAGGTCCGGCGCGTCCGCCAGCTGCGCAGTACTAGCGTCTACGATACGACGCGGACCGACTTGAACCACAGCACGATGCTGGAGGCGCTGACCGTGACACCGACGAAGCGTCGCGAGCTCCTCACCGACGCCGCCTTCTTCCTCGTTGCATTTAGCCTTGGCGTTGGTGCGTCTCTCGCCTCGTACAACAGCGACTGCACGGAGTATGCGAGCGCGGGCTTGGCGAGCTGCGGGCTACTGCGGCTCGAGATTGCGGCCGTGTACCTCGTCGGACTGCTGTCGCTGGGCGCCGTAGGGCTCTGGCTCCATGGCATTGACCCGGAAGAGCGGTTTGTCTACATCAAGTTTGTGCTCTGGCCGCCACGAGCCAGCGGTGATCACGATGACGCGGGCCACGTGAGCGCAACCGACCACGACGACGTCAAGTATAGCGAAAGCGCCGTGCGCTACACGGGCGCCGGCGTCCCCGACTCGGCGCGGGGCCACAAGCCCACATTTCGTGCCATTGACGTCTAGCGCCTTGTAAATAGACGCAATCCGAGTGTAGTTGTGTAGGTTATATGGTGCGTTTTTCTGCCCACCATACTCAGCCTGCTGTACTCAGCTGCCTGTGGTTGGGTGCATGGAGGATGCCACGGTCGAGAGCTGCTGCAGCGATGCGGCGACGTATGCCAAACGAGGTACTGCAATATGTAAATCAGATCGTGCTACTGGTGGTATCCAAGCAGCTTAGCAGCACGCGCCCTTCTTCTTGGCCTTGGCGGCGCCCGAGTTGTCCGCCGTGATTTCAATCTTGTTGCCGGTCGGAAGGCTCGCCGCGTTCTCTTGGGCCTGCATCGTCTTGCGGCTCATGAGCGAGTAGATTTCCGTGAGAATGCGCTGGAAGGCCGTGTCGACGCCGGTCGCGTCGAGCGCCGACGTTTCGAGGAACGCCAGATTGTGCTTCTCGGCAAACGCCATGGCCTCGTCCGTCTGGACCGCGCGCAAGTGCCGAAGGTCGCTCTTGTTGCCGACAAGCATGATCACCTAATGCATGCATGCATCGCACCTTGTACATAGGTCGCGGCGATATGCACCGTGTTGGCGTCGGCGTGGTCGCGCAGTTCCTTGAGCCACCGCTCAACGTTCTCGAAGGTCGGATGTTTGGTGATGTCGTACACGAGGAGGGCGCCGACCGCGCCGCGGTAGTAGGCGCTCGTGATGGCGCGGTACCGCTCCTGCCCGGCGGTATCCCAGATCTGCGCCTTGATGGTCTTGCCTTCGGCTTGGATCGACTTGGTCGCAAACTCGACGCCGATCGTCGACTTGGACTCGAGCGAGAACTCGTTGCGCGTGAAGCGCGAGAGGAGGTTGGACTTGCCGACGCCCGAGTCGCCGATGAGGACGACCTTGAAGAGGTAGTCGTAGTCGTCGTCCTTGGCTGCCATGCTCGCCGCTCACCCAAAAATATGTATGTCGGAGGTTTCGCGTTTAATTTCCTCGACACCGCATACAAACTTGAAATAAGTCGATCGTAGGATCCGGTCGGTTCTCTAAATTATGATTGGCCAAAATAGAGCGCCCAGTGTTGTCGGCCATTATCTGCACCTTTGCACATCGCCTTGCACAAACCGCGGCTCTGGAGTGCATCGTAATATGACCACCACGCCACCATGTGTAGATGGTAGCTAGACGAACGACGGCTGCTACAGCTATGTACAGCAGGAAAGGCCAGCCAAGAGGGCGGTCGAGCACGAGGCAAGATGGAAAGAACCGCTACTGCCCACGTCATTCTTTCTTTCGTTGCGCGACAATCGGTTGTGTGCTGGGTTTTGGTATCCGTATCCGGTTGCGAGCAGCACGCCATCCGGAAAGATATATTGCCATTTGTTGCCAAACGATGTGGGCCACGACCGCGGAAGCCGCCGTCGAGATGGACGTCTCGCCGTCGCTCCTGCCCAGTAACCTCTCGCGCACCGGCGATTACGTGGTAGGAGCGTTTGCTGCAGCG